ATGAGCGTGGAGAAAAAAACTTGTACACTGTTGGCTTGATCTACAATATTGTTCACTCACATTTCTTTGATAGCTTATGTTTTTGGAACCTAATGGTTTTCTATCTTGGTACTTGTTAGAGACATTTAGATGATGACATCATGTGTTGCAAGATTAGTCCATATTCATAATTGTCTAACATTAATCACATGATTACACATGAAAACAACAACCGAAACTCACAAGTTTTTGTTGATGTGATCAAAACCAAGAAGTTGAAAATGAAAATCATTGAAGAAAAAAAAGTTACCAAACATGTTCTCAGTACTTAAAAAAAAAATGAAAAATGAAAACTGTAAAAAAAAAAATTGAAAAAGAAATGATTAGCAAGCAAGTAATTAGTTTGATACCAAGTTTAGTGAGAGAAAGCGAGAAGAAATGAAGTATAGTATATTATTCTCCAATAAGTATTTAAGTTAATAATTGATTACATATTTCTAATCTCTGCTGTTGGATTGCATTTATTAAATGTGTTGGTAGATTTAATATGCAACATACAAACAATCCAACGGTCAAGAAATATGTAATATATATATATACTGACTTGGGTCACAGACAGTGGCTTTGACAATATAAGCTCATTCTAGCAAGAGCTTGATAGGCCATGATCCTATGAAACTAGATGCTCTTGTTACACACACCACCTTCCTTTCTTGGCTCATCCTTCTCCTCTCATCACATTAAGATCTACAGTTGGAAGTCATGGTACTTCAGCCTTTTATATACTTTGATTAAGTGAGCTTAATATTTTTAGCTCAGTCGATGATGACCACTTCAACACAAATTTTAATGATACACTACTACAAAAAGGGGAAAAAGACGACTAGAAAACGACGACGGTAGAACAAAAGACATGGTGATGGCTATGGCTACAAGAGTATTGCAGCTTGGAAAGTATTGCATCAGTATACCCTTGTAGCCATAACATTCGAGGAGATGTGTGTTGCTCCCAAGAAAAACCATGTTATGTTGGAACTGCAGTATTAGGCTATGCACCCTGGTCATCAGAAGTCTTTCTCTTGCATCTAATCTAAAGCATCTTTTATTTATGTGGCTCTTGTCAACCGCTATGTGTTTCACTATCATATTGGCAATGATCACTCACCTATATGTTGTGTTGGTGATACCGAAAGCATTATGAATCCAGTTGTTCATTCCATAAACCATTATAGGCCAAGATTTTTTAATATTTTTTAATTTTTGCTTCTGCTGGTCGGTGGCTTCTATGATATTCAATTTGTAGTTTGGTTGGTAAAGAAGCTTAAGTGCTTATGGCACAAGTATAGACATATGCCAACATTATGTAATAGGAACATGGATGTAGGTTGCTTAGAGTAGAGGTGTCAAACGGACCGAACCGGCCCCTTTAGAGTTGGGCATTAGGACTTTGAGCCAACCCACTTAGTAAACAAGCTGAGCCAAGTATGTCTATTTATAAAAAAAAACATTAGCTTATATATTACATTAAAATTGAAACTTCAAAAACTCGATATGCCCCAAGGGCTAGACTATTGTTTTGGTTTAAAAGATTGAAATTTAAAAAACAAAGTCATTATTTAATTTATAAAGAAATCATTAATTTTTAACATATGTTACTTAAAAAATGGGCACAAATTTAATATTATGATGTACTATTTTTCTTTAAAAACAAATATAATATAATATATGGGGCTTTAACAAGCCAATTCATTGAGTCAGCCAGTGTCAGGCCCGATTTTGATTAGGCTCGTGTCGTGCTAGGCAATATCTAATTAGATCAGCCTCGTACCGTGCACAACCTGACTTTGAAACGACACCTCTAATCACAACTCAATGAGATAGGGAATGTTATTTAAAAATTGAAAATTATTATATGAGCAAATTTTAATGAAGAAAAAAGAAGAAATAAAATATTAGGGAATGATATATATATACTGACTTGGGTCCCGAACCGTGGCTTTGACAATATAACCGCGTTGTAATAAGAGCTTCACCAGCCATGATGCTATGAAACCAGACGCTCCTGTTACACACACCACCTTCCCTTCTCTGCTCATCTTCTCTCTCTCTCTCTCTCTGTATATGTGAAGCTTTTAGTATTAATATATGGTGTGTTGGTGGGCTTTTATGGTGAGATAAACAAGCTGAAGATCAGAAGTGTCCATGGAGGCAAAGTCAGTCCAAGTTGGCAACTACTCAACGCCGACAAAAATGGAAAGATAAAGTACAACGAATGTGGTCGTTGGTTATCATTTTTCTACAATTTATTAAAAGTACTTTTTATGTAGTTTAAGAACTTGTGCATTACAGAAGATCTTTGCGTGCATTGATTCGTGGGATAAGAAAAACTATATTTATAAGGTTAGTAGCCGTAGCTTTTAATTTTCATTTTATGTCACGTTTCTTCCACTTTCCACCAACTACCATTTTTCCATCTAACTTAAAATATTTCATATTTTCAGACCATGTATTTCGTCACACACAATGTTGTATTATATTTACAGGCCCGACTTTGAGAGTTTGAGAGCCACCTCAGGTCTGGCCATTTAGCAAGCAGACAGCCTGAGGCAGGCTAAGGTTCCTAAGTTAGAGTTGTGTAGAGAAGATCGTTTTGAGCACTAATTAATTAACTGATTCACAATAGTTTGAACAAATATTAAAATAGACACAATATTATTGAGAATTAATTTAAAGATAGTGAAGCAACACAATGCCAACTTGAGCTTTTTAATTAGAGTTTTTCTATTTAAACTCCATACTTTTTTTTGTTCACTACAATACTTAAATTATTAAGCTCTTAAGTTTTATTATTGTGTAAAAAGACAAAAAATGTCATCCAACTTTATACTTAACCCTAGTACATCTATACACACACCCCGCACACCCCACCACTCTTCATATTAAGTTTTAGAAAAATACAAACTCCTCTAGATCCTATCGCTAATGAAATCTAGTCCCGTAAGAAAAGGTCTTAACTTGCATTTCAGTGGTCTGAGGTTTGAACCCTACCACACACATCTTTGTCTGAGTAATTAACCTTTTTAATCACATGATAAAAACAACCTTGTGAAAACAACAAAATCTCATGTATACTACAAATATTGTTTAATGATTTAATGATTTAAGTATTAGAGTGAACAAAGAAAAGTGTGGGGTTTAAATAGAAAAACTCTTTTATTTATTTATTTATTTTTCAGCTTGAGATGTATTTAAGGGTAGTTTGGGAAGATAGTGGAGTTTTCTTAGAAATTGTGAAAATTTAAATTAGAAGTTGGGGTGAACTTAGAACATGGGTTGAACAAAGAGAAGTGTGAGGTTTAAATAGAAAATCTCATAAATTCACAATAGTTCGAACAAATAATATTAAAATATACACAATATTATTGAGAATTAATTTAAAGATAGTGAAGCAACACAATGCCAACTTGAGCTTTTTAATTATTTATCTATCTATATATATAAAGCAAAATGCAGAGAATTGTGAAATATTCAAAATACCAGAAAATGCCCTCAGTTAATTCAAACATTAAGAATTGAAATTATTAATTAAATGAGGATAATATGGTAAATTCACTTTTTTTCATATTAAAAGAATTAAAATTAAAAACAAAATCAGATAATAAGTCCTACTTTTATGCAACATAACTACCCATGTTATCTTTTCTTAATTCTAAAAATAAAATAAAAAATAAAATAGAAAACCAATTGGGACATGGGGCTAGTAGTTATTTTAAAAAATGATCAACTTGAAAAAAGAGACAAAAGGGATAATTACATACAGGAAGATTGAGCCATATATATCAAGATCTGAAAGCAACTTTCTAAGAATTTGCGTAGTCAATGAGAACAGTCTGAACAAGAACAAAACAAATCTCATCATCCCTTTGGAGTTTAGCAGAAGAAAAACTACAAAATGCCAAAATGTGACCAACTTGTGCAGTAAATTAGGAAGTTTCTATCTTGAGGAAGCCCTTCTCCCTGAGACTTTCAACAGTGTCCCTCAGACTTACTTCCAATGGAAGGAAACTAACTCCCAAGCTTTTTGCTTTTTCCTGCGATACTTGATATGTGGGTTCAGAAGGATTGGCCTCCTCATATCTGCCAACAATGAAACAAATAAATCTTTACCTTAAAAATTTGTCATATTCGAAAAGGAAAATTGCCAATATGTGGAATTTTGCAAATTATAACTTACTTTTCAGGTGGGAACAGAGAGGGATGAAGTTCATGTAAAATCTTCAGAACCTCGGCCATGGATGTAACATGCCCAACTAAACAATATCTTCCATTAGCTGAAGGAACCTCAAATGCTTGAACATGAGCTGAGGCAACATCTCTAACATCACTAGATATATAAATTGAACTGCTTACATCTTCAAATTCTGCATAGAAAAGAAACAAACTTGCATCACAAGAATCATATAACATCAAATGACTAACTTTAAATGTTATTTTGTTACCTGAACCAACATTTCGTTAACATTAGATAAACATACCTAATACTCTAACAATTATGCTAGCTGCCTCAACTAAGTTAATTCTGACTCTCCATCATAGTCTGCTCTAACCAAGCAAAGATTGAAAAGGAAAAATCATATATAGTTGCTGAAGTGTACCGTTTTTGAGGTTGAGAATCATCTCCACAGTAGGATTAAGGCTTGGTTGTAAGAGTGGACCAATCACAAAGGATGGATTTATGGTAACCAAGTCAATCCCATTTCCTTCAGCAAATTTCCAAGCAGCTTCCTCAGCTAAAGTTTTTGAAAGAACATACCATTTCTGGACATAGAGAAGAGAAAGAAGTTCATACTAAACCAAGATATACTTTCTGCCTTGTTTTATGTTAAGCATACCTCAGTGCAACGAATCACATGAACAACTGATTTTTTTTTTTTTTTTTTTTTTTTTATGGCAGAA